TTTAGAAAGTGAAGTGAAAGCTGCACTCAGGGCACTTTGGAGAAATAAATTAGCAGGAACAGATGACATACCAACAGAGCTGCTTTAAACTACAGAAGCAAAATCTATTCTAGCTCTAACTAAAATCTGACAACAAATATGGAAAACAAAAAATGGTCCACTGATTGGAAATGGTCAGTATATATTTCAGTCCCCAAGAAAGGGAACACTAGGGGAAGTAATTAATCACAGGACAATTGCATTAATTTCCCATGCAAGCAAAGTGATGGTCAAAATTTTACAAAATTTTTACTATATATGGTGTAAGAAATGCTATATGTTCAAGCTATGTACAAAAAAAAAAAAAAAGAGGCAAAAACAATCATATTGCAACACATGTTGGATAATGGAGCTCACCAAAGAATTTCTAAAGAAAACCAGTCTGTGCTTTATAGATTATAGCCAAGCCTTTCTTTGATTGTGTAGATCATGAAAAACTATGGATTATTCTTAGAGAAATGGGTGTGCCACAGTATTTGATTATCCTCATGTGTAACCTATACTCAGAGCAAAAAAGCTACTGTCAGGACAGAATACAGAAAAAATTAAGTTTCCAACTGGCAGGGTAAAGCTGTATTTTATCACCCTGTTTAACTTGTATCATGAATATATCATACCTAAAGCAGGGTTAGACACTGATGAAGGAAGCATGAAATTGGAAGAAGGAACTGAAGATATGCAAATAACACCATACTACTAGCAGAAAATAACAAAAACTTGGAATAACTACTGAAGAAAGTCAAAGAAGAAAGTGCAAAGGCAGGTGCACAGTTGAACATTAAGAAAACAAAAAATAATGACCACAGATAATTTATGTAACTTTCAGGCAATGAAGGCATTAAAGTAGTTCCAGATTTCCTATACTTTGGCTCAGTCATTAATCAGAATGGATGCTGCCATCAAGAAATCAGAAATGCCTAGGATTTGTAAGGGCAGCTATGAAGGAAATAGACAAGATCCTGAAATGTCAAGATATATCATTGAATACTAAAGTGAGGATGGTCCATTCCATTTCCAGTTTCTATGTATGGTTGTGAAAGCCATACAGTGAAGCCATCTACTCTGCCTTAAATGACAAATTATCATATCCTGAATGTGCATTCTTGGGTGGATGTGGACAAGTGATCCTATCAGAGACACCCATTTGGGTGTGTGTGAGCACAGTTACTGGGAAGGAAGAAGGGAGAAAACCATACATTGAAGAAAACTGCCAAGAAAAAACTCAACCAATTTTTAAGAGTTCTATGGATACTGTGAACTGCTAAAGAGTTAAATAAATGAGTCCAAGAGCAAATCAAGCCAGAACTCTCCCTCAAAACTAAGATGACTCTGAGACTGTTGTACTTGGAAAGTATCATGAAAAGACATGACTTACTATTAAAATCAATAATGCTTGGTAAGGAAGAAGGCAGTAGGAAAAGAGAAAGATGGATGGACTCAATCAAGAAAGCCACAAGTCTGCAAGAATAGGTTGATGATAGGATGACTTGTAGGCCAAAGTCAACATGAGGACAGTTAACAACAGCAAATGTTAGTCTCTGTATGTGTGACTGGCCCAAATTTCATGGCTAAGTGGGGAGACTAGAAGCTGGGTCTCCCAAATCTCAGTCCAGCTCAGTAACCATTATAACACATCGGCTGTCAGTGTTCCTAGTGACTGGCTAGGGAGTCTGTGTGTTGGGGGTGGGGGGAGAGACAATATGTGGACATGAATTCTAACAAAATACCCTACATCTGTACACAAGTCACACTAGTAAATAATGTCATGGTAAAGGGAATCTATATACACTGTTATGAAAAAGTTTTCAATTTCTGAAAATATTTCATTGATATTTAGGCTGGTTCCCTTGATATACAAAATCAATTGAAAGCAGGATCCTTTTTTTTAATGGTTGTAGAAGACTGATGACATAATGTAGTTTTTAGAGATGCTGTACTATCTGAATTTTGCTATCTGAATTTTCACCATGAATTTGGAGCATCTGAACCACCTGATCTTGGAAGGAGAACTGAAATTATAGCAACTTGCCACTCTTCTATTTAAAAAAATATGAATTACAAACAGTACTTAAACTCTTGAGCATGCAGATGTTTGATAAAGTTTTCACACCATGCCAACAGTGGACACTGATTAAATCATGGCATAATCATGATGTGATTATGTGATCCCATTAGAATTCCTTTTCATGTGGTCTTTCAATAGATGCAAAGATAATGTAATAGGGAAAATGCCATGGAAAAATGTAATAGGGAAAATGCCAAGTGAAAACACCATCAAAGCATGAATAGCCAATTCTGAAAGTAATCTTAGAAATTCTTCATGTTAAACCAGAATGCAAAAGTAGCAGAATGCAGGTTAGACCCAATCTGGTCTTGTAACAAAAACAAATGGGTTGTTGCTGTTGTTGTTGTAGTTGTTGTTAACGGCTTGAGTTGACCTTGACTCATGGCAACGCTGTGAATGAGACATCTCCAAGACTTCCTATTCTCTATCTATCTGCTCAGGTCTTGCAGGTTCAGGCCTGTGACCTCCTTGATTGAGTCTAGCCATCTGGCATGTGGTACTCCTTTCTTTCTACTGCCTTTTACCTTTTCTAGCACTGTTGTTTTTTCTAATAAGTCATGCATGCTCATGATGAGGTGAAAATATGACAATCTCAGTTACATTATCTTGGCTTCTAGGGAGAGTTCAGGCTTGATCTGTTCTAGGACCCATATGTTTGTCTTTTTGGTTGTTCATGGTATCCTCAGCACCCTTCTCTAGCACCACATTTATTTTCTTGCTGTCCACTTTCTTCATTGTCCAGCTCTCACTTCCATACATAGTGATGGGGAATACAATGGCTTGGATGATATTGAAACCTATTGACCTTTATCTTAACCTAGCTGGTTTCTCTATATATATTGTGAAACCTCTGCAGCCATTTTCTGTACTGGGCAATCCGAAGGGCATTCAGTTAAGTCTATGAGAATATTCACTGGAACAAAAGCTGTGTTTGCACACTGAGGAAAAATGTTTGTCCTGGCTTCACTGCTTGAGCTGAGCATTTAGGACATCCTATTGGATGATCTCTCTCATCCTAAAACTAAATAAGCATCCCACAGTGATTTTAAAGGAAAGAAATAATTCTGTCCAAATGAATATGCAATTAACCATCAAATTTGTTCAGCATCCTTAATTCTGCAAAGCTTGGACTCCAGCAAATTAGCTGGTTCTGGCTCTTTGGCATCATTGCAAGATGGTATATCTCATGGTATTTTAAGTGGGGACAGAGCAGCATTTCTGATCTCATTTTCCAGTATTTCAGCTGTGCCATAATCTAGGCCTTATTTCATCACCTA